GACCACTCGTTGGCTGGTGTTCCGAATCCACCAGTGTTTCGCCGTGCACTCGAGACGCCGTTTACGAGCTTATGAAACACAACACATTCGGATCCCAAAGTTGAAGTTGTTCCTTTCTCGCTTAGTGGTCGGAACAACCTTCATATTGTTTTCTTTTCGCTGTGCAGTGATGCTTGGAACAGTGTACTTCTTCGACCACAGCACTGTTCTGTAAACCAGTGTTAATTAGTTTTCCTACCTTCTGGCTGCTCCAAAAAAAAACATGCTCTTTTGCACAAAAACTACTACAGAGCTTAAAGAAGAGGCTATCAGGTATTTTGTCGCATTTTTCATGGGTGCGGATGCGAACAGCAATAGCTCATTACCAGTATTTTAATAAAGTCACTTTTAGGCTGCCATCCTCCCGTCCAAACAACAAAAAAGAAACAAAATACTGTTATCCCACCTCTAGTTTTCTTTCATCGAATTCCAGTGTGGCTTGTGGCCTTTGGTGCATTTTTGATCAAACCTATTTGTTCAGATTTGGTGATAGATCACATCACAGTTTATGGCCAGCAACGAGTTGCCGCACATGTGCACACAAGTGACGTTGAACTGTTCCCCTCCAGTTTGACTACAATTATCTGGACCTCAGAGTAACTTGCATTGCTAACTAGTACTGCACATATTTTGTGGGTCTGTAAATAGTGTTGTGTGAGTGCACCCTTATCAACTTACAGATACCTGACCTATCCTTGTCGCCACTGCTTATGACTTACTTCAGAGTTTATCCATCTTTCATCTCAACTACCAGCATGCGCAACCGAATTGCGTCTGGGTCTGGTCTGTAAAATATTTTTTTTTAATTTTAGCGTATATATTATGACTACTTACCGTAAAGAAAAGCCTGCAATTAAGAAAAGGCAGTTTCGATATTTTTTTTATTTTGTCTGTTTTTCCCGGGGGTTATCAAGTGCCGGGGTGAGGATTGGGTACAAGTTGCGTCATGTTCACACCAAATAACATTCATTGACTAGAACTCGAAGCGGAATGGTACTCCGTGAGTTATCAGCTTTTCCAACCCTTTAGACCGTAGCTTGCTTGCCACTCGAGGGAAGTACGAGGGCCGGGTTCAGATCCATTCCGGGGACTGATTCCAACCTTTCCCGACCAGTAGTCTGCGTCCGAACCTCTGAGACGCGTAAGGCCCCATCGATGTTGACCACTCTTCTAAAGCTGATGATGCCAAGTAGACCAAATCGTTAGAACACTTGGAGTCACATTGCTGTGGCACTATGTGTAAATATTGGCGGTTGGTCTGTGCGCCGAGCTTGGCAATCGCCTTGGAGTCGTCTCGTGACCATGCGACGAGGTATCGTCACTGCACGCATTGGCTGGGCAGATCCCTGGGACTTTATCCACGGCTTGTCAAACTCCTTCGAATTTCTAATTATCGCATAGATTCTCGCATTTTTAGTCGTCTTTGTTATCTACATCTCTGAATTTGAATAACGTCACCCCTTTCACGGATGATGAAAACGAACCACTGTCCGGGGGTGTCATAAATGCACCGATGTTTTTCATCACGAAATGGTTGATCAGCATCTAAACCGTAACATTTGCTCTTTCTATGAGAGTGAGTACTCTTCTCTGAATAATTCAACGTCGGATATGTTGAAATTTGAATCCAGATCAGGTTGGATTTGAAATACAAGATGGATGATATTGTCGAATGGCGGCGCTGTGCCTCGTCGGTCGCCAATCCAGGTTGCGTGTGCACACCTGCCACGATCACTTATGTTGCCCTAGCAACCACTGGTCGCTGCTATGAACTCAAAATATTTTGTTCATAGTCATACCACTCTCGTTTGAACGGTCGTGTTCCTAATCTGGCGTAATTATTCCGGTGAGTCCACACCAAAGGGAAGCACTGGACTCGAGTTTCGCTCTCATTAGAGCTCATCAGCATTGCATATCCAATGGCCGTGCCGGGATTTTAACCCCAGAAATCTGACATGCGAGGCGATCGTGTAACCACCACTCCAGCGCACGATGGGCGCATCTGAATTTTCACGTCTGAACAGGCGAACTCAAAATGCTTTTGGAAACGCACATCACTCAGGAGAGAACACATTTGTATATATGGCAAAGTTTGCAATCCGAGAACCGGTTCAGAGATGGACCCAAAATAAAAGACTGCTTTTCTGACATCGCCTCTTCCCAGGTTCATCTGTTCTTTGAGGCGTCTTTTAACAAAACATGCTTCTTGCAGTCGGTTCGTTTGTTGGATGGGTGCTGGCTTATAGACAAGGCTGGTCTGTGATGCCCAAGTTGTGAAATGTGAAAAAAATTATTTTGACCAAATAAGACGCGTTCTCGGCTTGCAAGGACAAATATAAAAGCCTAACTTCTCCCACACTACAGATGAGTGCTCACTCAGTTCTTCGCGATTTCCGGAACACGGATCGTAGTTCAAATTCATATGCAATAGCATCCTACCGCTTTGATTGTTTCCGGCCAGTTTTCATTCCCGCTGATCTTGTCAACGAACCTTCGAATTCCAGTCTGTCGAATTAACCTGTACGCACTAATGTGTGTATTTTGGTTGCGGCACGAGGACCTTACCAATGACCTAACTGAGACCACCACACTCCACTCACACCAACTCCAAATCTGCTGCCGACGAATCCACTACCGTTCACAAAGACGTCCGACGTTCTGCGCGATAATTCCATGACAGCTATCTGGGTGTTAAGCACACGCGAACTTGAGTTGAGATTTTGACAAACGGGACAGCTGGCGGAAAACTCGATGGCGAACAGCTAGTTACTCTCCTTGTTGACAAACCTGTCGCTCCCAAGTGGACGATATTAGTACCCTCTGAGAGAGGCACAAAATGAACATCGTCGATCCCTGAAACTCAGACATCATAAGTCACCTGGAGGGTCGTGTTTTCAGGTAGTTTGTCACTATATTGCAAACAAGCAATTTGGGATAGAAATCACCGGTCATACGTGGTGTAGCAGGCAGAACAGTATACCAAAAAACAGGTGCAACTAGTCAGGAGTCAGTTCACGTTCTAAAACCTTTGTAGTGCTCAGTCGGTACATACTGGTTTGATGAATGGTCAGTCAGGCGGCTTCGCAAAGACGGGGGATTTTATGTTGCTCAGTTGCGTGAGTCCAAAGTGAAACCATTTCTGGATAGTTGGAAGAGTTATGCTCCCTGGAACAGCTTGATCAGAACAGGTGGGACGATATTCTTGCTGGATATGTTCAGTTCGTATGAGCCCGCCACGTAAAACGGACTAAAGCTTGAAGCGAATAACGGCCATCGTTTGTGTGAAACTAAAGCGGAACGTGACCAATCGATAAACCGTGGAAGTCAAGCAACGCTCATCTCTTCGTGGGCGCAGAGTACAGGCTTGAATCGACTAATCAATATTGCTTCAAGCAACTTCCATCTGTTCGGCTAACCGTTCCCTTCCATGACCCTGAATGTAGGGCAAAGTTCAACTATGTCGTGTCTTGGGCGCAAGCCTGGTGACTTTTGGCTCTGACAGTCAATCTGGGGTCAGCTGGCATTACAAGAAGTCACTTAGGTGGGTACTCCTTTGATCACGTATCAAGCCTCTAGTCTGTTCCGCCGGTGTATGCATCACCGCAGCTGCAGGTGAATTGGCAAGCCCAATAATTGGTTGCTAAAATTGACGCGCGTTTTGATCGGTGGCATTGACATAACTTTGATGTATACCCAATATTCGGTTGCATTACTGTATATGTTCGGCGTTGGGTCCCTTCAATTTGACGGTATGGTCACCATCGTGGGGAGTCGCCAGGCTTCTGTGGTGCTGTGTGAGATTTTCAATGAAACAGTCAGGGTAGCTGCAGCCGCAAAGTTTTGAGTAATTCTAACTCCTCAGCGAGTTTCTCTCGAGTGCAAATCAGTTTTCCCCTACGAGCTAAAGTATAGAATGAGGCATATCGCGCTTGCTGTGTGTGCCAGAAACTCATTGAATTTGGTCGTCTAGTGTAGGTGGATTGAGACAGTGCTACCACTAATCCTCGTGACCAAGGCGCCAAAAAAGGTGCTTTATTTTTCACTTCGGACCTGAAAATAAAGTAGCATTTTTGGTGGGTTGCGAAAGAAACTGTACAATTGTTTAGCCAGTTTGTCATCTTTTATTATGAGTAAAATGTCGCCTAGTTGTTGATCTGTTCGCCGAGCTTCGCCATTGACTTGCAAACGTTTTGTCAACATAGGAGGAGACATCATCGCCCAACTGCGTGCTGATGATGTCTCCTCGTATGTTCACGAAGCGTTTACCAAGCTCGGCAAACACATCAACAACCAATAAGCTCACCCAAGCTACCAATATTTTGCCCTGTTTTCGCTTATATACGGTTGGTCGGTGAATGGATTGCTCAACTTTCAGTCCCAGAGGTCTTCTCGTGGAGTTACTTTCAATTTGCTTACAACTGGTGCATTGAAAATGACATATTTGGCGCATGGTAAATGTGGCCCTTCAGAATAGGGGCGGATAAACTAATCAGATCCGGATGAAACTTTGGGTGATCACCTAAAAATTTTGCAATTTATATAACAGGGGCATTAGTAGAGAGTGACTAGGTCGGAGGAACACACCGAGATCAGTTAGTTTGGCTTTAAGCCAGTTGTCGTTCTCAAAGGAATTGGGGTTCAGTTCAAAGGTGGGTTCAAAATATACTTTTATGACAATGTCCTCGGACTGGATTTTAAGATTCAGCCCGAGTGGTAGTGCTTTTGGTTTGAGGTGTGCTTAGGTAACTCTAGGAAAGTTGCTCACGTGTTTTCCCAGACCGCATGAAAGGTGCGTTCCCGGGGCTTTCCCGAATTTCGCCATACAATCAAGTCTATGTGTGCTTTACTATGGTAAGACAGTAGTTGATAAGCTATCTGGCCACAGTGGACGACCTTCGTTTCAATCTTCAATATGAGGCAGTCACAGGCGTTCAACATTTTCACTAGTCATCCTCAGTTTGCTACGCCGGAGTGGTCTTGGGGAATTTCCTGGAAAAGTGGTCAGAGGATTTTCCTGTAACAGCCCCGCAGTGACCGGGTGTCAAATTATCTGAATTCCGTGTTGTACTAGAGGAGTCCTCTACGTAAATTTTAAAGCACTGTGACCCCTGGATCGGTTGGGACAAATGAAGTGAGATCAAAATGAAGTCATTTTGTACCATCTTGTCTGTCGCATACCTGTAACACAGGATAAAAATGAAGCAAATTAAGGGACTAGCATTTGTACTTGTTTGTGAGCTTTTATTCGAGCAATGAGTCGTACTTAGGTCATGTCGGGTGACTGGGCATGGAGTGCTTGGGTCAGATTGATTGATTGATTGATCACGTGTCCTTGTTATCCGTAGAGGGCTGTAATCTGAGGTCGGTTACCACCCTGTCCATCAACAACTACGTTGTGTGCTGAAAAAAAAGCACGTGAAATTAGTCTTGTTTGAAGTGTAAGTTTTTTCATAGCACAAATGTCGCACAGATGGACCATTGGTATTCTTGCTTTTAGGAACCTTTCATATGTTCGCATCCAAAGACGTTGACAACATTTAGCCAATGAGAAGAGGACAAGTGGGTGCGCTTGAGCCATACTGTGAGATACTGGTGAGATGCTAGCTAACCATGCGTCCGCATTTTACTCTGAATTAAGATTTACAAAGACCTCCGTTGTGCTTAGGTGTCTGTCTTTAAGGAGTGAATTACTGAGGTGTAAATAAACGTGCCTGGTTCAATACGTTTTATCCCTTCAAAAACAACAGTATAACCATGAAAGTCAGTGGAATGCTTCCAGGGTATAGTTAGGGAATTCGATGGCAGAACTAATTGACCGATCCTACAGTCACATGAAGAAGAACGTTCTCAGCACCTTCAACGTTTCAGTGAGTTGCAGATGACCTTGGGATATTCCCAAGTCTTTATCATAAACTTGTTGGCCCTCACTTGAGCAGTTCCGGGTACTAGCTCTCCATCAAGTGGTATTGGAGATCTGTGGAAGTTGGACAGCTCTATTCATCTATTCTCTATCATCAATATCAGCACCTAGACATGTCTGTTCGGCACCGAAGCGCGATTGCTGAACACTGATGTCACGCTGTCAATGATGACTATTGATCATCATTATCATCAGCTTTAAAAACCGCGTACTTGTCGTACAATAGTTGTAACTGCAACAGTTCCGTTCGCCAGTGATTTGGGGAGATGCGGTGGATAGCTACGTACTGGAGGCAATTGCTAACGTAAGTGATGCCTAAATACAGTGGTGTCAGTGGACTTTTCTTCGGAGGTCGGGAGGGAAGCTATGCATTTAAGGAAGTAGCTTTGATGCACGAGAGCGATTTAGGGCGCCACTGGGTCACGTCTGACAATGTCTCTAACCCTTTATGTGTACCGCCTCTGGTGCCCATCCGGTGACGCGGAAATGACTAGTGCATTTGAATTTGCTGATAATGGTTTTATACTTCGCTGTCTGGTCATTGCTTCGTTTCCACTCCTCACGAAAAGTGCCTTTCGAGGGAGTAGGTCAACTGGCATATGGAGCATGTGACCAAGCCAGCGCAGTCATCGGAAAACCATTCAACGTAATTCAGCCCTACTGATCCGGTTTATTCACCATGAGCATCCTTCAGAAATGCACCCATTGTTTTGACCGGTTTCCTTGCTTCGGTCACTAAGCCATTCAGGTAGGCACACTCTTCTTTCGGATCCCCTTGGGTTTCCGAAAATCTTCCGCCATGTTGGGTATCCAGCGTGTGACCAGACCAACACCTGAAAAGTAGACTCCTTTCCTGAACCGGTTACTTGTTTCGGTTGGTGATAAACGGTTGCATCGAAGTCCGTCTCATCAGTCGTACCTTGATGCACTCAAAAAACACTTCTGTATCTCCTTGATACTGTTAAATCTTTGTGATCTAGTCAGTGGAACAAGCAGTCGTGACCGCGAACGCGGACTTGCACGTAGAGAATGCTCCGATCACAGCATGCACACAGAAGTTATCCAAAATAAGAGAAACAGGGAGATCGGTCTTTAGGCCAGTCTATATCCCACGGTGTTGTCAGACGCTTCAAGACTGTGCGACCAAGCAAAAGAGAAAGAAAGGGCATTCTCTACCTTCTCCCTCGGTAAATTGTTCCAATGATATAATAAAATATAAATAAATAATAAATAATAAAAATAGTGACAAATGAAAAATAATCAAATATGTATAAACTCTCGGTGCCCAGCTTCCATGCCACCCGAAGAAAGCACGAGGGCTGGGTTACTGCCAGTTTGCCCAAGCCTAGACAAGGGAAGTAGTGAGGCAGAAGTCGGGTTCGAACCACGGAAATTCCGGTCAGTAAATTCACGCCCTAACCACTGAATTGTCTCGGCTATCAGCAACAGACAAATTTCTCGAGTAAATCTAACTGTATCGAGTGGCTCATTCAATGCAGAAACTGTTCGGGATGAAGCATCCAAATTACTGTTATAGTTGAAAGTCACAGCACCAAATACACAAAAGCATTGTTCTTTAGTTTGTGTCTGTGTTGCAACACCGATGGGAGAAGCGAGCGCCCCGTGTTTCATGTTAGCAATACTAGATGTTTTCGGTGTTTTGAGCAATTTAGTGTAGAGCTATGGCGTTTTTGTCTGGAGAACATGAAGCCCGACTTACGAATAGTATAGACCATGAGTGGTTAATTATGTCGAGAGGGGAGCGCTTTTGCTATATGATAAGTCAATTTTAGCTTTAGCACTGGATACTCACTACGGGAAAAGATTTCCCCGCTTCGAATGCTTGCTAACAGTATGATAGGCCCTTTCTGCAGTAAGTCATTCAATTAAAACTCCATTGATTTGATCGGGCTACATCAACCAACAGCCTTCGAGACGCTTTGAGCCCAATAACCACAGCTTACTATTGACATGTCTGTGCTTACACCAGTCTGACTTCCTTGGGGTTGAAAGTGACGTCTTAAGACTATTTGCTCGCTGCTCTGAATCAATATTTCTGGCCCTACGATACGTGGATTCCTAATAATTTTTGCCGGGATAAGAACCAAATCAGAAATGTCCCTTAAGGAGACCGTAAGCAACGTGGATAGCAGCGGGGATGTGCAGTCACCACACTGAACCGCAAACCAAGTACAATGGGTGACCAAAGTTTTGATGTGTTTATTTAAGGCCGGCACATGGAAAGGTTGTTTCCAGGCCAACTCAGTTTCTGCAGCTAAGCCTAGTGACCGAATTCTGTGAAAAAAAATTGATTCAATAGATTACCAATCTTTGTTTATGAGGAACTGGCTTCTTTCTAAAGAGACGGTGCCCTTGTGGTGAAAGTGAACTGCACTTGTTGATCATACTTGATCAAAAGTGTGAACACTGGTTGGGTCGATAGACAAGATCCAATTTCGTGTTTGTAGATGAAAAACAAACAAGAAAGCAACAAGCTAGGCTGCTGTGGTACTGTAAAAAAGCTGAGTGTGTCTCCGTCACAGAGTTACATCAACCTTCCTATTTCAGTGGTTAATCGCTTCGTTTGCATTCGAACAGCCAAACCACTCTCAATTAGATGGCCACACATCTCACAGCGCGTGGCTCGATTTTGGCCAGTTTGATGATGCATACTGGTTATGTTGATTGATGATGTGATATTGCAGCTGGATGGGGACCGATATTCCTATCCGACCGGTTGTTCGCGAACGTATTGGCTGATTCACACGTACTAGTTTGACGTGACTTGACACATACCAGTCCAATGGTACCACTGGTGACTTGGGGGCAAGGTAAAATCTAAGCGCATCAATCTGACATCACCAGAAGATAAGAGAAGCACGGTCACAATCAGAAGCATGTGGTTATTATTCTGGAGGAACATTACTCACAGGGTTGCTGAGACTACGGTAAACGACAGAAATTCAGTCGGGTCTCTCGACAAAACCAAACTGATGTACAAATGAGTACATTTCAAAGGATTATTAGTTTTACAGCATCTGATAAGGATTCGCCTGTCAACAATGGTTGGATCACTGGAGGCCTGTGCATTCTCACAACACAAACGGTTTATCTAGGGTTGATTTGCTACTACTACCTCCGTCGTGCAATACGGTACGACCATATCTGCCAGGACGAACCACTTCCGCTAACATGTACAAATAGTGGTAAATGTGCAGCAGGGAGACCTGTTATGAACCGAGTATATTGGTGTCGGTAGGCTCGTTGGGAGTCGCTTAAGAATGACTCGTTTACTCTCAGCTACGGGGACCCGGTGAGCATCGAAATATGAAACATCTACATATATAACCTTTCTCTAGTTTGTTGGCACAGTGTCAGGTTGTATCATGGTCTAAAATGAAAATAGTGTCGCTTGAAATCATATGAAGTTCACCCATATATCGTAGTTCCAGTCTTCGTCGGTCTCACAGAGGAGTCCTCAAATGCCCCTACAGCCGTCCGATACCGTGCGTGGCCCAACCAGTGCAGTTGGATATGGATTAAGAAGCTCCTGAATCCGTGTATTTTCGTCTTCTCAAGAACTTGAGTCTGTCCACCTGTCTGACCAATGTATGCGGACACTACAGATGAAATCGATAAGGATTTCGATACGATACCGCTGCATTGTTCATCCGTCGCTACTGTGCTCGCACTGTCTACAGTGCGATTACATGATACGCCGCGATTTTGCACCCAATATCAGATGGTGATTGCTTCAGACCTGCCTGATATATCTACATTCATCTGGGAAAAGGACAGTGTCCCAGGTAACTTGGGAGAATCGGTCGAACTGCCCGTTTCAAAAAGCGCCCGCAGTGGGTACGGTACTCACAGAGGGAGCAGCTTGATCCCAGCCGTAACGAGACGCGTGGAGTTACTTGTCGGTTCATGGTGGCCCGTGAAGCACTCACTCGAGGGCAGTAAGCAGGATCTTGGGGTGGTAGCAGTTGCATTGACCCACAATTTTGGTATTCCTGGATTTCCAAGGCACACTGGACCCACTTGACCAGTCTGTTCTCTTTCACATGCTTACTCAGCAAGGAATGCCTCAAAAGTTTGGCTTGCAGTCATGTTACAGTATACGGTTAGAGTATACTCTCCAAAACCTTGGCACACAAATTGGTGTGCGACAAGTATGCGAATTCTCTTTTTCCGTATTCAGTATGACGGACATTAGTTCTCCGAAACTCTGTTATTCAAACAGGTGTTGGTGATCTTCGAAAAGCAGAAGGCGCAGTTGTTTTTGAGTGAATTGACTATGGTCATCCTGTCCTCTAGAATACGCCTTGTACCCACAAAGTGCATAGAGTCACTGAGCAGGCCACCTAATCCAAGAAAAGGAACTTGAGTTAGTGGAGCGTCTCATTTGTCTTGGAATGTGTATGGATTCCGACCACAGTGTGACAGATGTGGTTGTTGCCGGTTTGCTTCTGCTAACTTGAGACATCTATGGCGACAAAGTTGCGCACTCCTTGATCCCAGAGGACGCGCATATCAGGCTGTAGTACGGGCTGATTTGCTGTATGGCTGTAGGTCGTGGCCTCTTCGGGCCACATTCCCATCTCTACTTTAATTCTTTTCTTGACAATACGACTTTCAGATAAATTATGTTTGTACGGCAGCAAATCATCATGGTGTGCTAAAGATAGTAGTGATGATGATGGCTATGATAAAGTCGTTGATACAACTGGAGATACGAACCTTCGAGTTATTACACATTCTTTTGGCTTGAAAGTGTTTTTAATTGAAATCCATCCAGACTAGACTTATTAGCTACACCATCATCTGAATTTAGAAGAGCCTCCGCGTTTGTCTTATTGATGTGATGACGTGACAGATCTGTTTGGACCAGCTACCCTCCTATAGTGGGCCTCCTTTTCCCGAATCAAGGACTTTGTGAATTCAACGAACAAAGATTGACTGCGTTCGTGGTGTTGCTCTTGTATTTGCCTCTCTGAGAAGACTAAGTTGCCGATGCTTCATCCCTCCGAAATCCACAATTCCTCTTAAACAACCTCAATCAAACTGTCAGCGTTCACCTGAGTCTACAGGATCTTGCCAGCAATCCAGGTTAAGCGGATTTCACAACGTTCCGTTCTCTTTCCGACTAATTCATGTTTGTTCCTTTCAATCAATTGGGAAAAGTTTGTAACCCATCAGGAAATCATCGTTTCAGAAGGGCTCGGTGAACAATCGGTCTTTTGTCATTTGGGCACCGTTTCGCTCTTGATACAAAGTTTTCATCAGGCCAAGTGAACAGGTCACCTAGTTTGACAGGTTTGAGGCAGCGGAAAATTATGCAGTAAGACGTCTTCAGACTGTGTAGATATCGTTTCGCTTTTGACACAAAAGCTTCGTCAGACCGAGCGATTTGGTTACGAGGTTGGTCGAGATTTAAGGCGGAAGGCGAACCAATCGGCTAAGTTAAACTACATCTCTGTTAGGTGTCGACCGGGGAGTTCTGTGTGTTAGGGTAGGTGACCCATTGTTAGGCCGATGGGGAAACCTACATGGATTTGGGTTCAGCCTAAGTTCTAGTTCTTCTGGTTCGGTTCATGTGATGAACCCTCTTGAACTTTGTTTGCACTTTCCGTCCGTCTGTGTGGATAAGCTAGTGCTACGATAGTCGTGTAAGAGGGATTACGTGAACTTTGGTAGGGTTGAGATTTCCAACCCCCCTGTTTCTGCTAGTGAATTGACAACCACACACAGTCACGTGTCAACTCGGCTAATGTAAGACCGCTTTCCATACGCTGACCAGTTCCACACCCTCGCTTCTGTTCACACGGTGATGCTTGGTTATGCTTGGGACTGCGATTCAGAACACAGCGGCGGACGAGTGGTTGAAAATTGCCCCAGTGTCCGTTGGCTTTTAGTAGACTGTGGTGTTTAGTATTTCCCTGACGTTGTGCCATGCAGTTTAAAAAAGGCCACTGTACCCGAAGTTGACTCCATCTCCATACTAAATTTGATGTGTGGATTCAGTTAATTCAGATAGTTAAAAAAAAACTCCATGATTTGGTTTCGTTTCACTACGACGGTGTCATCTACATCTTGGGTGTGTATGGGAATCCGGCTAAAGCTTTCTGATCAAAACAGGCTGCTGAAGAATCTTTGACAGCCCGCGATCGGTTTCGTCTTGGAGGTTATCAGGTAGGCGAAGTCCCCGAGTTCCGTCGACCTTGAACCGTCTACTTGAACCCAAATTAGACTGATTTCGACAAGTACACTCATTTGCAAATCAATTTGGTTTTCACGGAAAACTCAATTGAATCGCTCGTGTATGGTATTCTTCAACTGAATGTGCTGCACAAAGGCCTATCTCATGTTCTGTTCATCATAAACGACAGATTCAGCTGGGTTTCAGGTGAGTCTCCCGCAAAAACAGATTGGTTTACAAATAAGTGTTTTTGTAGTATTTGTTCCTGTTCCCACTTCCCCTTCCACACACATCACAGTTACTCACGCAGTGCACACGGGTGCTGGCGTTCACAGGCTGATCCAACACGCTGACTCATGATCCATGGTCAGGTCAGAAGCCGATGTCTGCTGCGTTCGTGCGTTCCTGCTGCGGGTTACAAACCCACTAATCGATAGTCTGTTCTCTACGCTTGTGTCCTACTTACAGGACACGGCATTGTCTGCCTCCCGCTCCCGTGAATAGGGTCACCCACCACGCTGCAATTATGTTCCAGTTTTGGACAGTTCGCAAGGTAGTCCGTAAACGGGTTGGCTTCGTTTACAGGGAGAAATCTCTATAAAATTGATGTTTGAAGTCCTTGGAACGTTGGGTGATCCTCCGTATGTTCCTTTTCCGTACGTTACCAGTACTTAGTACAATGACTGGATAGGAGGTCAAGCGGCGTGGAAAAATGAGTCTTTCACAAAACTATATTTTGATTTTTATGGGCTCTGGACTGGTCGTACGTCTGCTCACGTAAGAATGCTCATAAGAATGCCCCCTTCGTTTTTGAATTGTTCTTTGGCGGTAGTACTCAGTTTTCTGCCGAAAGCTGCACCCTCCTAAGCGACCATGGACTACATTATAGTGTCTTATTATCGAACTAGTCCTTTAGCACAGCTTCACGCACGTATTAGCATTACAATCCACCGTTCGTTTCCTCGACCTCGTAGAGTTCGTTCTGACAGTTTCTCAGAAAAACTCTGAACTTCCGTCGCACTTGCAGAGTTTTTCTGTTTTTCTATAGTCAATCTCATCGTAGTTTTATCAAGGTGACGCGCACTGAAAAATCGTCTATAGTTCACTCAGTATCACATACTACTTTGGCAAGGATGATTTTGTCGAGGTCTCCTTGTCAGATGGCAAAGTAACAGTCAATGAGATGTCTGTGTGTAATCTTCAATTGGGACCACGTGGTTTTTTTTCGGGATTAAATCACGTGACTAACACAGCGGCTGCGCATTTGTACTAAAGACGCTGGCCATTGTCTGTGAACCGATTCCAAAGACCTATAGGATCTCCATTTGCATTTCAGCTGAATCTCTCATTTGTGATATCTAGTATCTTCTTCCAGCTTTATGAATACTGAATACAGCTCAAGCATTACTGGCGAGTATTGACTAAATGACGTCCTGCAGCTTGGTGCGAAACTCGTCTTGTTCCACTTCAGAATGAAACATTGTGGCAACAACACACAAACGTGTCTTTTGTGAGTTGATTTCGAATAGTCATCATTCTTGGAATGATATAGCTTGATTCGAGTGTGTTTCCGGCTACCGCAGATCCGAATCCGTAATCCCATTGAATGACCTTCGAGACTACTGTCTAGAGAATGTAGCCGGACCCAGCTTCATAATGACAGTCCTGTTCTACCAGTATTGTCTCACCCAACGCCAAAACGTCAATACAATGCCGTGCTTCGACAACAGGTGCTGTCCTTTGTTACATCATTTCACTACTATCCTTATCCAGCAGGATGCTGACATTCCACGCTCCAAGTTGCCGAGTGGTGCTCCTTAAACAATATTCCTTCGTGCCGAATCCACTCACTTGCGCACGATGAGCCCCAAACAGGGCGAAACTGGTAAATCAAGGTAAATCAAGGTTATATTGGTCTAAAAAGCATTTTGCTTTACAATGACCAAAGGATATTGGTGTGTGTGTATGTATACAGATAAACGGAATGATATGACATATATGTTCTATTGTTTGTAATCTGCATCTCAAATGTTGATGAGGGAAGTTGGGTGAGATCTTATGTATTCGTCAAGCGAATGTTTGAAGGTCTCGAGGT